ACAATTAAAACCATGGTGTATATATGTATAAGTATGTTTTGTATTATGTCACATGATTTAAAATTTTTATTTTTAATGGGTGTATTGTAAATCATTCCTGTATGACTGGACGTGAAGTTTGTTTTAATTTTTAGCTATTTATGGATAATGCCATTTTTATATGATTGTCTCCCATTTTTTGTTTTTGTTTTTTCTGTTGGAACTATTTATGCTAAATTCTCAAGATCGTGATAACTAAAAGTCTTTTGCATTATTTTTGACTTTAACCTGCTAACCTTTATCCTTCCCCCAATCACTGAATTACCAAGTATTGTTGATTCTTTGATAACATACCTGGGATCAATCTCTTTCTTCCATTTTCACTGTTTCTGCCATTTCTGTCCTTCATGCCAGAATTATTGCAATTTTTTTCCTGATTTCCCCAGTCTCCAAAGTTTTTTCTCTCTCTTTTTTAAATCTTCACCTGAGGGTATGTTTATTGATTTTTAGATAGAGAGGAAAGGAGAAAGAGAAACATCGATGTGAGGGAGGGGATCAAACCTGCAACCTAGGTATGTGCCCTGACCAGGAATTGAACCCACAAGCTTTTGGCATATGAGATGATGCTCCAACCAACTGAGTCACTTGGCCAGGGCTCTGATATGTTCCCTTTCCTGTTCACTGTCTCATCGTGCCAGATTAATTGTCCTAAAGCACTGCTTTGGAAAAAAAGATGAATTTATTTGACAGATACTTAGTGAATGCATACTGTGTGGCCAGATACTAAATCCCTTAATTGGCACTTTCAGAAATAAACATTCTCCCTTCAATTACTTTACACCCGCCCTCTGACCCAGCCAAACTGGTTTATTTAACATCTGAACATTCCATCTACATTCCTGTGTCTGAAATTTTGTTTAGAATGAGCTTCTGTTTAGAATCCATTCTTCTTTCCCTTTTCTCAATTTTTGATTCTTTCTTCGAAGCCCCACCCAGTCTCAGCCCTCCCTCCCTGAGGCCTCTCAGTCTTTTTCATTCCTCAGTTTCTGCCTTTGCTAAACTGTCACAGCTAAGCAAACAATATCTTCATTCTCATGCATTCACAAGATAAAACTCTGAATTCTTTTACCTTGTTTTTAAGGCTAATATCTGGCCCCATTTTTTATTTCCCACCCGTCTTCCTATTAGTTCCTAATGTGAACTGCCTGACTCCCCTCCACCCCTCTGCTTTCTGTCCTGTAAATACCCTCTGCCGTTCCCATATCCATGCCTTTCTTTGCTCATGTTGTTCTTTTTCCCATCCCCTCTAGCTGTCAAATCTTATGTATTTTCTTTAACACATTTTTTTAGTTTTAATTTATTAATGATATTTGTATCTTGAACATGAAAACCAAATCATGTAACAATGTATAATACATATGTGGGGCCCATATACTTAAAAAAACAGAGCCCTGGCTGGTGTGGCTCAGTGGATTGAGTGACGGCCTGCAAACTGAAACGTTGCTGGTTCAGTTCCGGTTGGGACGTGTGCCTGGGTTGTGGGCCAGATCCCCAGTTGGGGGCATGTAACTGATCGATGTATCTCTCACACATCAGTGTTTCTCTCCCTCTCCTGCCTCCCTCCCCTCTCTCTAAAAAAATAGAATCTTAAAAAACAGAGCAATACATACATTGCTCTGTTTGTAATGAGTAATACAGGATACATACATACATATATATGGGCAAACGTATGTTTACAGTTGTTCATATGGAACAAGACATGCAGGTTATGATTATTACAATAACTTTATTAACTCTGTGTTTCGAGTACTCCCAACTAAGCCTACTTTTGCCATGCCCTGGGGGGTGTGTGTGTGTGTGTGTGTGTGTGTGTGTGTGTGAATGGTTTCTGCCACCTCTTCTTCCAGGTTATGTCTCTTAAGGTAACTAGCATTAAAGGTTTGGTATCTTCCACACCTGTCTCTTTCCCCTAACACAGATTGGACTTTTAAATGCTGCACCTTGACCCAACAAGAATGGGGGCATAGCCCTGGTTGGTGTGGCTCAGTGATTGATGCTGGTCCGAGAATCAAGGGGTTGCTGGTTGGATTCCCAGTCTAAGGCACATGGCTAGGTTGTGTGCCAAAACCCGGTAGTGGGTGCGTGAGGCAACCACATGTTGTTTCTCTCCCTCTCTTTCTCCCTCCCTTCACCTCTGTCTAAAAATAAATAAAATATGTTTTAAAAAAGAAAAGAATGGGAGCATAGCCCTGGCTGGGTTGCTTAGTTGGTTTGAGCGACGGCCTGTGCACCAAAAGCTTGCGGGTTTGATCCCCCACCCAAAGCACATACCTGGGTTGCAAGTTCCTCCCTGGTTCGAGTGAGTGTGGGAGGCAGCCAATAAGTGCTCCTCTCTTACATTGATGTTCCTCTGTCCCACCCTGCAAAGGCAATAAACCACCCTGCAAAAGGATTAAAAAAAAAATGGGAACATACTCTGCATTAGGGTTCTCAGAATGTCCAGGACACTTGGGTGTTCTGCAAGCATAACTATTTTCATTATACACTAAGATGTTATTTGCATATTTGCCGTGTTGACATTTTCACTGATATGCAAAAGCAGAGGTGGGTAAACTGCGGACCCTTAGCACTACTGAAGGTAGTGGACCAGCTACACTCATCAGTACATTCTTCACTGCCACATACTCATAGTAAATATCAGTTTTTCACCTAATATCATTGGTGATGCAATAAATGTTATTTTGGTTAAACACTGACTCTTGAATGCACATTTTTGTTTATTTTTCCTAGTTTTATTGAGATACAATTGACATATAACGTTTAAGGTATACCATGTGATAATTTGATATTTTTGTATATTGTGAAACATTTACCACAGTAAGTTAACAACATCCTTCATAGGGTTACTTCTGTTACAATGGGAGCATTAAAGCTACACTCAGCAGATTTCAAGTATACACAGTTTTGTTAACTGTAGCCACCGTGCTGTGCCTTGGATCTCTGGAACTTACCTTGCTTGTTTTTCTTTTCATTTCCTTCATCTTATAACTGAAAGTTGTACATCTTTTCAGTGTTCTCTGTGGACTAGCTGGGAAGTAAACATGGAACTTTCCGCTACATACTGAAGACTATGTCTCAAGGAGAAGTGCTGGCGCAACTGTCCCAGTCGAAAGCTAAATAAGCTTCCTTTTCATAAACAACTTTTTTTTTAAGCTTCACCTGAGGATATGTTCATTTATTTTAGAGAGAGAGAAAGACGAAGGGAGAGTGAGAAAGAGAAACATCAGTCAATTGCCTCAGACACCACTTTGACCAGAGACTGAACCTGCAACCTGTTGGGGTATGGGAAGATGCTCCAACCAACTGAGCCACTGCCAGGGCCACTGTTACTTTTTTTTTTTTAAGATTTTTAAATTTATTTTTAGAGAGAAGGGTGAAGGGAGGGAGAGAGGAGGAGAGAAACAATGGTGGGTCACCTCTGGCGCCCATGCCTACAACCCAGGCATGTGCTCTGACTGGAAATCAGGCTGGCGACCCTTTGTTTTGTGCCATGACACCCAACCTGGAGCCACACCAGTCAGGGCCACCATCTTTAACTCGAAAGAACCACTGACAAACTGGTAATTCAGACCTGGGTACATAGTCATAAATAATAGGCATTTTCCTGAAAATCAAGGAAATGGTCCTGTTATTTGAAGGAAAACAACTGAATATTGCCAATGACAAGGTTCAGGCCTTCAGGTGAACATTAGAATTTTGGAAAACGTATCTGCCACTGTGAGCTTGATAGCTTCCAATAAAGACTTTTCTGTGATATTAACACATGATTCTTTATATTACATAGTTAAATGTATAATATAAAAGTAAGGGAGAATCCTGAAATAAAAGATATTTGAAGGTCACTACCCATTTTTCTGCAACTTTTCACTTAGTGTATCATGAACACCATTCAGGTCAGTTCATTTACATCTAAAATTATTTTTTCTTTTTTTAAGATTTTATTTATTTTTGAGAGAGGAGAAGGGAGGGAGAAAAAGAGAGAAACATTAATGTGTGGTTGCCTCTCATGTGCCCCCTACTGGGGACCTAGCCTGCAACCCAGGCATGTGCCTGGACTGGGAATTGAACCAGCGACCCTTTGGTTCGCAGGCTGGCACTCAATCCAATGAGCCACACCAGCCAGGGCTAAAATTCTTTTTTTTTTTAATTTTATTAATTTATTTTTAGGGAAAGGGAAGGACAAAGAGAGGGAGAGAAACAGCCACGTGAAAGAGAAACTGATCGGTTGCCTCTCGCAAGTCCCCAACTGGGGACCTGGCCTGTAACTCAGGCATATGTTGACCAGAAATTGAACTGGCTACCTTTTGCTTTGTGTAACGATACCCCCAACCCACCGAGCCACACCAGTCAGGGCTCATCTAAAATTCTTTTCCATAACAGCATGGTGTTCCATCATGTAGATGAGCCATATCTATTCATTCATCCATATATTGATGGCCATTCAGGTTGCTTTCATCTTTTTGTTAAATAATGCAGGAATAAACATTCTTTACATATGTCCTTGTGCACTGATGCTTTTATATCTATAGTATGGATTCCTAAAAGTTGACCTGTTTTTCATGATTCATCTTAGCATTTTCCCTTCTTATAACATCTCTGTAGTCATTTCCCCTTGGTTTTGCTCCTTTTTAGCCTCTTAATCATTCACTGTGTTTTGATGTTCCCATGCTATGGTCTTGTTTTTTTTTAAAACTCTTCCTCTGTGCCTTTCTTGTCTCACCAACTAGATTATAAAAATAGAAACTCACTGAGGTCAGGGATGGTGTGTTATACAGTGTATAGGCACCCACTAAGTAACAGTGACCACGGCAGGACTGAGGGTTGCCATGAGAAAAGGATACCTTAATGCTTCCTTTTAGTGGCCAGATGGGTGCTGAGGAAAGCTGTGCGCATTCATGTATTCTTTCAATGGGAACTATTTGAAAATTAGAGTAATTCTCAACTGAATTCTCTCATTTCAGGCAAGTACATCGCCTCAACACAGCGACCTGACGGGACCTGGCGCAAGCAGCGGAGGGTGAAAGAAGGCTATGTGCCCCAGGAGGAGGTCCCCGTGTGCGTGGTTAGGCATGAGGAAGGGGTGTTTAATGGGGTCCTCACAGAAAGAACACATATGCCTATGAGGTCAGGGATGAATCTCCTGATGTCCCTAAACCCCAGGAATGGAAGGAGGGGACAACTGTCTGAGAAAGAAGAGGAGGGGTTGACTAGTCCTGTTCCTACAGCCTCTGTTCATCAGGACCTCCAAATAGCATTCAGAGATTTAGAGCTTTGAGACCTAGGGACCCTCCTACAACCTGCAAAACAGAGGAAAGTTAGGGAGGGACCAAGGGAGAGGAAGGAAGCAGAAAGGCAAAAAGGGTAAAGAGATTTAGAATGTTAAGAAAAGGGCTCTCCCTGGCTGTTGTGGCTCAGTGGGTTGGGCATCCTCCTGCAAAGTTAAGGGTCCCTAGTTCGATTCCTAGTCAGAGCACATGCCTGAGTTTCGGGCCAGGTTCCAGGTTGGGGGCCTTCGAGAGTCAACCAATCCATGTTTCTCTCGCACATTGATGTTTCTCTCCCTCCCTTCCCCTTTCTCTAAAAATTAAATAAATTATTTAAAAAAAAAGTGGAAGGTGGGGGATGGGTAGGGCAGGGGAGAATAATGAGGGGAAGATGGAGACAACTGTAATTGAACAACAATTTTTTATTTATTTATTTATTTATTTATTTTTAGAAAAAGAGAAAAGGGCTCAAGGCCCTGGCCAGGTAGCTCAGTTGCTTAGAACATCTTACTGATAGACAAGGTTGCGGTTCGATCCCTGCTCAGGGCACATAAAGGAATCAACCAATGAATGCATCAATAAATGGAACAACAAATCAGTTTCTATCTCTCTCTCACTCTCAAATCAATAAATAAAAAATTTCAAAGGAAAAGAAAAGGGCTCAAAATGATTGTTTAACTGTTGGCATCTCCTATTCCCTGCAGATATGAGAACAAGTATGTGAAATTTTTCAAGAGTAAACCAGAACTGCCCCCAGGGTTGAGCCCCGAGGCCACTGCTCCTATCACCCCATCAAGGCCTGAAGGTGGTGAACCAGGCCTCTCCAAGGCAGCCAAACGCAACCTGAAGCGGAAGGAGAAGAGGCGGCAGCAGCAAGAGAAAGGGGAGGCAGAGGCCTTGAGCAGGACTCTGGATAAATTGTCTCTGGGAGAGACAGCTCAACTCCCTAGTGCTTCACAGGGCTCCCGCGCAGTCCCTACAGCTGCCTCTGACCAGCCTGACTCAGCTGCCATCACTGAGAAGGCCAAGAAAATAAAGAACCTAAAGAAGAAGCTTCGGCAGGTGGAAGAGTTGCAGCAACGGATCCAGGCTGGGGAAATCAGCCAGCCCAGCAAAGAGCAGCTGGAGAAGCTAGCAAGGAGGAGGGCATTGGAGGAGGAGCTAGAAGACTTGGAGCTAGGCCTGTGATGCTTTTGGGGAATAGGGAATGGACTGCAGAACAAACCATGGGGCTCTCTGGGTCCTGGGGAATACGGGCAGCAGTCAGGAGGGGTACCTCCCCAAACTGGCTTACCTCCACCTCTCGTGGCCCAATTCTGCCCACCAGAGCCTAGCCTCTCCCTCATTCCTTCTGTTTTCTTCCAAACTCCTATTTTTTGGACTTTTCCCCCTCCTATTCCCAGTGTTCAAAAATCTCAGTGTTCCTTTGCTGCTGATTTGGGTGTCTTGTTCAAAAGAAAATTGGGTGGGTGGGAATCTCGAAGAACTGAGGTTGAGGGCAAGGGGAATACACTCAAGTCTTGGAGTCTTGGTTCCTTTTCACAGTGTTTATGGGTTATTTTCCCCTCCATCCCTGACCTCTTTTTTTTAAAGAACAGAATAAACAAGTAGACAAATTGTTGAGCTTTGCCTCTTTCTTTTCAACTTCTAGCAGATGTTTTATCTCCTTTAATTTGGCACAGGAAGAGAGGTTTTGGAAGTAATAATTCCTTTTAATTTTTAACAGTTATTTGAGTGTATGACCAAATTAGTAACACTGATTTCTGTATGTTTGTTCAGACGTAAGTGAAGAGAAATTAGTGTTATAATAAAATGAAACTTAGAACAAATTTCATTTGACATGTTAATTTGCACGTGTCAGTCACTGTTGCATAGCAGTGGGGCCTTTGTGACACCCCTACTGTTTCTTTCTAAGATAATCAACCCTCACAGCTTCACTGGGGCAGCTCATCTGAAATTTTACCTTATCAGATGGCACACCAAGTAGCATTGTGGGGCAAACTGTTGATACAGGGAAACAAATTTACAGCTAATAAGAGCTGTCACTTAATTTTTGCATATCCTCTGATTTCCAGACCCTCACCTGTCACAACCTTTCTTTCTAGTCAGCTGCTGGTTCAGAAACCAACAGAGGGGGAAGTCAGCTATAATAACATATTTCAGGAATTCAAAGTTTTTAGCCTGACTCAAAAGGTCCCACCCAATCTGGCCTCATTTCTTGCCATTCCTCAACTAGTCAACTCTTTCTTATCCTTTGGATCTCAGCTTTAATGTTGCCCTCAAACACAAATTTAGGTGCCTCTCTCTTTTAACATTTATTTGTTTTTAGAGAGGGGAGGAGGGAGAAAAGGAGGGAGAGAAACATTAAACATTGGTGTGTGAGAATTTCCCGGTTACCTGTCTGAGGCCCCCAACTGGGAACCTGGCCCATAACCCAGGCATGTGCCCTGACTGGGAATCAAACCAGCAGCCTTTTGGTTTGCAGGCTGGTGCTCAATCCACTGGGCCACACCAGCCAGGGCTGGGTGCCTCTCTTAACTTGCTTCCTTATCACTCTGCACTTACCTTTGTAGTGGTGTGTATCGCATTATGTTATGCATGTTTCTTTGTTAGCCCTCTGCCTCATTAAATCATGTGTGTCTCAAGCCCTGGGACTGTGTCATCATTGCGTCCCAGTGCCCAACATAGTAAATTCTCAAATATTTGACTACATGAATGAGGCCAGAAAGCGCATGGAGAAACAGAAGAGGAAGGATAATTTGTGCCTAGCACAAGTGAGCAGTTGGTGAGGGCTTGACTGCACACCTCAGTGTGCGACCAAAAGCCTGAGCTCCGTTGTGTAGGGACTCTACACAATTATAAGGATTTTATAAAATTTAATAGGCTTATATGTAGGTGTTTGATGCCTTGTGTAAGTTTAGACATTTTAGAGGAATCTATACTTTAAAAACCAATAGTAAGGAGACATTATTTGCTTTACAAAATGATTCACTTCAATAAACCTTTAAATTTCCTGGATATTTAGTGGCATAATTAAAGTTTGTTTTGATATTTGTTGGGCTCTGCCAGTCATTGTGCTTGTTGGGAGGGATGCAGTTATAAGTACATTATGGAATCTTCATTTAAGAAAGCTACTAAGTCAAGCAAATCACAAATTAAGTGGTGACAGATTTAATTAAGTTCTATGGTAGAGGTATCAGCAATGTGTTGAGGGAGAGCTAAGAAATATATTATTTTAATTTGGGGGATGGAGAGGCTTAATGTGGAGTTGAAGTCTGAAGAAGACCATGACTTGCATCTCAAGAAAGGCAGGGAGGGGAGAGCAAATATGTAAAAGGCTGAAAGGCATGCATGAATTTGCTTTCAATATTTCAAGACCATGTTTCCTTACATAAGATCAGTGTTAATCACCTGATATAAGATGAAAATTTGCATGTGAGCTAGTGTTTTTCTACATGTGGGTAATGATCCCTGACCGGTGTGACTCAGTTGATTAGAACATAGTCCCATAAGCCAAAGCATCACAGGTTCAAATCCCAGTCAGGGCACATGCCTAGGTTGTGGGTTGGGTCCCTGATCAGGGGTGTGTGTGAGAAGCAACAGATCCATGTTTCTCTCTCCCATTGATATTTCTCTCCCTTATCTTTCTCCCTGCCTTCCCCTCTCTCTAAAAATAAATGAAATCTTAAAAAAATAAAAATGGGTAATGAAGTGATTTAGAAAGTTGTGACCAGTAGAGAAAATAGTGGACACTGATGCTTAATAAGGGATTATATATTATAGTATATATTGTATGCATATTATATTATGTTTATTACATCTAGTTAGAATGTAAGAAATATCCCTTACCTTGGTTTGCAGGAAAATAAGTTGAAAACCACTAATAAAATCAATACTAAGAGGCTGAAGCATCACATACATGCTCCTGGTCTTTATGTTTGGGATGGTTGGGCTGGAAGGATTTAGTTTATTTCCTCAATAGACCCTTGTAACTTATGGCAAAGTAAATTAGCTTCTGGCTTTCTTTTTACCCCTGAAGCTGTATTACTATTTATTTGGACTTTCTCTCCTCCTTAAAGATGATTTCTTCTAATGTGTAATTGACAAAGATTCTTGGGATCTAGAGGTGAGTTATGTTAGCACTGGTCATTCACTCTCAGGGGCTCAGAGCCCATGTGTTAGTTTCCTGTAGTTAGTCCACTAGGTGGTACTGTGAGGGACCAATGTCTGCAAGTTTTCTTGTCCCTCAACTCCAGCTTGTTTTGAGATTAGCAGATAGGTTTATCAGCTAGAAAATCTTTTCAGGCTCCCAGGCATTCCAGGAGAGGGCACCTAGATCTCCCTCCCCTCCCCTTACAAAAGACTAGGTTATTTGTAAGACTATAACCTAGTCTCAAAAATTGAGGAGGATAGAGAATCCGGGATTCAGAGAGTACAATTTTTGGTCAGTATAGTCTCTCAGAAGAGATCAGGAATGCTTTTCATTCTCCCTTGGGGTTCAAAGAAGATGTTGAACTACAGTGGAAGTGATAGTTATACTCAAAGATGAATAACTGAGTGAGTGGGGGTTATAGAATTGGCTGAGAGGAGGAGAGAAGAGATGTTAAAGGATCTCTTCCTTGGGAAAGGAACAAGTCGTGGAATCTCATTAAAATTAGCAAACACTTTTCAAGAGCCTTCTGTAGGACAGTAAAATACAAAGTTGAATACATTTTGGTACATCCTTTCTAGAATCTCAAGAGAAATAAAGAGTTAAACACTCCATAATACAGTATGACAAATAACTCTCCTGGGGGCAAACACAGGGTGCTGTAGCAGCAGAGAAGGGACCCAAAAGTCAGCTGAGGGGGTGGAGGGGGAGAGGTGGTGACCAGGGAAGATGACCCCTCAGCTGAGGCTGAGCCTAGAAGACTGGATAGGAGCCCTCCAACATCCTAGAAATCTACAAGGTTCTGCTGTCCTTGTCTCCCCTGGTGACTTCACTTACTCCTGTGATTTCAATAATTACCTCTATGCTAATAACTTCCAGTCTTCCTCAAGCCCAGTCATCTCTAAAACCTGCCCATCCAGTATCTTCTGTTTGGATGTTAGGGCTTCAGATTCAATTAGTCTAAAACCAGACACTGAAAGAGGCCAGGCTAATGATTTCTATGGTAATCATATAATTTTTATCCATATTTATTATCCAAGTAGATATCTTAGTCACTTTTTGTCTGAATTACTGTAAAAGCACATCAAGTGATCTCCAACTTAAATCTCTTCCCACCACTTACTTTCCCCATATATCCCACACATTTTGACCTTCAACAAGATTTATCTCCCTTAAGCCCAAAGTTGATGGTGTCATTTCATTGAACAACAAATTTAGTGGTTCCCTTTGATCTACAATGAAAATCAAGCTCCTTAGTGCCTTTATAAAAGAGATCCCACAGAGGTCCCTAGCTCTTTCTATTATGTGAGGATACAAGATGTCTGCAACCTGGAAGAAGGCCCTCACCTGGTCGTGCTGGCACCCTAACCTCAGACTTCCAGTCTCCAGAACTGTGAGCAACACGTTTCTGTTGTCTGTAAGATATAGTAGCCCACGTGGACTAGGACAGCACTCAGTATTTTATTCCTAAGTTACTCTTTCTACCTTATATACTCCATTGTTCCTTTCAATGGCTTTTATAGCCAAGCTCACCTAATCAATATTTATTTCCTAAATATTAATTATGCTTTTCTACCTCAGTATCTAAGTTCACACTGTTCTTCTCATCTTCCTTGTCAAAATGTTATTTATTTTAGGAAGGGGACATTTTCCTGAATATGTGGTAACATTAAAGGTGAAAAACATAAGTGCTTTATATTTTAATATATAAAGAGCTCTTGCAAATCAACAAGAATAAAAAACCTCTCCAATAGAAAAAGTCAAAGTACATAGACAATTCCAATTGATATGATTGGTTTAAGTGTCTACTACCATGCTATTTGTTTTCTATTTGTCATGTCTATTTTTGTTCTCTTTTCCTATTGACCTTAGACTGAACTTTTTAGTATTTTATTTTATCTCTTCTTAATTCTATTTTTCCAGTGGTCACTCTAAAGTTCACTATACATACATTCAACTTATCACAGTCTACTTTCAAGTAATATATGGCTTCATTGTAATGTAAAAATTTTACAAAAGCATGCTCCCATTTTCTCTTCTCCCATCCTTTTTGTTATTGTTGATGTGAGAGAGAAACATTGATTGGTTGTCTCTCACACACGCCCCACTAGGGACTGATACAACAACCTAGGCATGTGCCCTGACCTGGAATTGAACTGGTGATCTTTTGAAAAGCATAATAAACATTTTTAAACACATATTTTAATCATCCTTCAGGGCTCAGCTGAAAAGTTCCTTCACCTATGAACTGTTCTCAGAATCTTCCAACTGAAAATGGTTCTTTCATTTTCCAAATTCTATAGCCCTTTATCTGTCTTTCATGGTACTTATCCCATCAGCCCTGTGTATCAAAGTCATTCATGAACCTGGCTTACCTCTCCTGCTGAGCAGAGCACTCCCTACATCGGTGATATTGCCCATTTCAGAACCACTTGATTAACAATCTGTATCACTCAAGTTGGCACA